TCTTTAGCAGTAGATAAAATATTAACATTTAGTCTTTATAACATTAAAATTAACAATCTTTCTTTTAACAGTTATGAATGGGTTTTTTTTTTAAAGAAAACCTGCTAAACAAATACTAAAAGAGTACATTTCTGGTTAGTTATTGTGCAGTGAACCTCTCCCATCATTTTCAGCGAGTGTCTCACTCATGGTGACGAAGAAAAAAAATGTATAGTAACATTTGAACCACTTGAAGACTGTGAAAGTGATGTAAAAGGCATTATGGGTATGTCTGCCAGTTCTTTCGCCCCTGGTCTACTAGCCATACTAGCCCAAGACGGCATAATTTATGGTAGTAACAATATATGAATGTGGTGCACAGAGCTGTTTAAAAGGTTAATCTCGGTTTTAAAAAAGAGAGCGGTTTCTATATGAATCTTTCTGTTCTTTAACCATCATGAAGGGGTTTCCTTTTAAAGGACAAAACCTTCTGGATAAATACTAAGAGACAATTTCTAACTAGCAATTGTTCATGTCAACATCTGTGACTTTGAGTGAGTACCTCATTGGTGGTGACTGAAACAATGACGTTAACCGTGAAAGGCATTATGGGTATGCAAATGAGGTATCTAATTTGGGTGGTGCTATGCATTCATAACACACATTCCAACATGATACCAGTGGAGTTTATCGCTATAAACAACTGGTGAAGCTGCTTACATTAGGGCTCTTAGGAAAGAATTTGCTTGACTTTTCAGAAGATTTAGAGACATTTTCCAAGCAACAACAAATCCAAATATCATCAACAATACAAATATCTGATTTGTGCTGCTCTTTATTTATTTATTTATTTATATATATATATATATATATAAGAAAGAAAGACTGAATGAATCTTTGGTCAAAATGTCACTCCGTTTGTGGTCCACCATTTCAGGATCTGTCACTGGAGGGACCTGCAAGGAACTTGCTTCTCAGAAAGATGTGGACGGCTTCCTGGTGGGCGGCGCTTCCTTGAAACCAGAGTTTATCGACATTATTAATGCAAAAGCATAAAGCGATGAAGCCATCATCTACCTAAACCCTAAGGCTTAGGTCTGCTCCCAAATCCTGCTCTTCTTTAGAAAGTGTTATTGTGATTTTGTTGTTTAATTTTTTTATTATTATAAAGGGACAGATAGACACATACTGAACACTCAAAGGTTTTATTCCACTGAAACACGTGCAACCGAGTGTGTTACTAGTCCTCCTACTAGTGTAGTGAACTACAGGACTGTAATGAGAACCATCATGGGGCTGAGTCCATACCTTTACTTGAATAATATTTACCAACATTCTTGTGTACAGTGTCAAAAATCTAGGATAAGTCAATCAACCTCGGAGTCTTTTGAATTCAAGTGAAACTACTTTCCATGAATGTGGTTGTCCTGATGTTTTCCTGTCCCTCAAAGAGTTTCTCCGAGTGGCCTATCCTGAAGGTGCTCGTATGTAATAGCCAATGCCATTTGGTATAAAGGGTAGGACAGAAATATTCTAATAAATGTTTCAGAAGTGTAGACCTAATTTTGCTGTTGTCTCAAGTTATCGTGCTTCTGCATAATTTACTTTTTGTAACTACACACACAAACAAAACAAAACATTCATTTTTAAAGAAGTCTCCTATGCTCAACAAATCTGCATTTATTTGATCAAATACCATTATTTTCCTATTATTACAACTTAAAGTAACCGCTTTCTATTTCAAAATATATTATACACTAGAATTTATGACAGCTGAATTTTCAGCAGCCGCTACTCCAGTGTCACACGATCCTTCAGAAATAAAAGAAAAAAATCCTTCTCAAAATTAAAATATTTAAATCTTGACCCACTTTGAACAGTAGTGTAATCTAAACGGCAGAAATCACTTTGTCATATATGAAACTTTACATGAAATTACCTACAGATTATTACTAGGTTCTAAAGTAGCCTGCTTCAAAGAATCTTATTTCCTGTATTAATATTCATGCATTCACGCATTATAATGCGCAAGTTAGTGAGATTGGAATCGGTGAAAAATCTCGAGTTTGTAAAACACAAAAGTGTGAAATTCTATATATAAGCTAACAAATTAAATAACTAAGCAGAGCTGGGAGCACACTGTATATATAAACCTCTGTAACTCTGGTCATATTTGGCAGATTAATAGTTTCAACTAGTATAAAAAAAAAACATCTTTATTTTTCTCTCAAGATAAGTAGGTACATTATGTACAGATCAGCATCTACAAATGGCAGTATTTTCTTTGTGAACTCCACTGTATAATGACACATGGAGCGCTAGATAGGGCAGAGACATTAGTTCTTTCAGAGATGGAGCTGTAAAAGAAGAAACAGATGCAAGTACAGTCCTATCAAAATACTTAGTGCCAAGCACTGACTACATAAATACCAATCACAACATTGCATTACAGAACATGAGGAAAGAAGAGGGAGACAAGAGAAACATGCAGAAAGAACAGATTGCTGAAAAAAAAATATTAAAGATGTGACAGCAAAAAAAAATACAAATCAATGGATAAAGTTTAAATGCAAGAACACTTGGAGGCAAATCTAAACAAACAATATGAACGGTGGGAAAAAAGCAAAGAGCTAATGCAAAGGAAAGAAGTGAAAGAAATTAGATGTGCAAGGGGAGAGGCAACATTTGAAGAGAGGGACGAGCCTGTTAGTAATACTGCTGTTAAAATAATACGCATCAACTACAACAGCAAGGGCTAAAAATACATTTCGTGAAAGAAAAATTAACAGTGGCATCATTTGAGACAATCAACATTGCTTTGGACAATCCTTAAGTAATAGGCATCATGGGCAGCCAATCAACATAACCATTAGAAAATGCAGTGAGCTTTGAAGACCTGAGAGGAATTACTGTAAGGATTTATCTAACCTGCTGCTTGGACATCTAGAGTTTACACGAGTAGAACATTTCTGATCATCTGTATGTCCAGGTATGTCCAATATGCAATTCTACAGCTTATATTAAACCCCAAAGTTAGACATCAGAAACCTCAAGTCCATAAAACACCAAACAATACAGCAGCAAACAGTAATTAAAAAAAAAAAAGAAAAAGAAAAGGAAAAAAAACAACCAACAACACAATATAGTTAGAGGAAAAAAAGCAACGTTAAGACAAAAGACACACCTGAACATACAGCAGCAATTCTACTAAACACTATATGGAGCAATTCCTAAAATAAAACCCATACATCATCTTCGGACTGACAAGGTGGTTTTGTCATGTTTCATAAAGATTTTGTGATTGGCATCAAGAAAAACATTGCAAATTGAAATCACCAGGCTCTCCTCAAAATGACAAATGCATCAGACAACAACAGGCACAATGAAGAATCTGAATTGGCTGATGTCTGGATGTCTCAATGCCCAATTTCCAGTGTGCCTCTGGATTAGTTTTGCCCTCATCTTTTCATCTCTTGCTTTGCTCCGAATATGCATGACTGCAAGAAGAGAGAGAGAATCTGGTAATGAAGGAGTGCAGGAGGAGAGAGGAGAACAAGGGGTGGGAGGGGTTGAAGGTTGAGGAGAGGAGAGCAAAGTCAGTGTGGCAACCAGTAGCATCAGCAAATAATTAATTTACAATATACAACCAAATACAAGATGAAGCTCTAAGGTCAACAAAATGAGCTAAAAAAAATTGATTGATTACCACCATTTCCCAACTTCGATACATTGCAGTCATTCAGTAATTATTTTACTAAGTCACATCAGTTAAGACAAGTTGCAAATGAAAGGAATCATTATCTTGGTGCTTGTGCTTAAGCCAAATCTTTCTCTTATTGTTGGATACTTTTGTGCGAAAGTAAATTTTTACAGGTATGAGAGCAAGAAAAGCTGAATTGGGAAATGAGGAAGATGATAAACAAAGCTAAGATAGGGTGACCATACGTGCCATTTTCCCAGGACACGCCTTGGCCAGGATTTCTATATTGCCTAAAATATCTAGGTTTTGGCTTTGTTTGATGACTTAAAGTAAATAAATATGACAAAAATTACTTGGGAATATTAAGCAATGATCAACAAGGGAAAGATTTGGCATATTATCAATCCATGAATCCCTGACTTCATGAGTGTGGATTGGATGTTTTACTTTCTAACATGTCATTTATTTAATGTCTAGGGGAACAAGAAATTTTTTAATAATTTTAACATGAAAATTTCAGTTATTTGCACTAAACCGCATATCAGTGTGAACATGCTCACCACCCAAAAATATTATATTTAAACTTTTAAAACTGCCAGCAAAATAACTGTATAGCTCAAAATGACACTTACCATTGTACAAACAAACAAAATTAATTATGAAATCAAAGTAACTATAAGGAAAAAGAAATTAATTTCACTTTGCACATTATTTACATGAGCACATATGTACAGATTTCTCCAATGAGGTGTTAGGGGTGCTTTCTGCTTATAGTGGCCCTGAGCACATCTTGCTAAAGCACACATATTTCAGACCCAAGCCTTATCCATGCTAGATCTTAATAACATTAAATAAACCTGATTATGTCAACTGCAAATGCTGCTGCACATTCTCCTCGTTCATTTACAATGAAATTGATGCATGAGTATCAACTCCAATTTTAAAGCAGTCCATTATAAATCAAGATGCATTAGATGAACTTTGTAATACTTTGAATTGGTACAACTTTTTTACTACAATGTGTTCATGCTTCAATCATTGGCTAGATTGAGACCATGATACCATATCAATCTCTGAGATTTACTACTGTATCACAGTAATATCCATGTAAAATGAGCAGATCTTTTCGATTTTTGTATGGATCTTTTGGTGTCAATCTTGCAGATAAGGGGTGCAACAGGGTTCATTATTAGGCCCACTTTAAAATGAGAAATGATACATTCACAACCTGCCAGAAGGGTTAACAGATACCAAGCCAAGCATGTTGTTCAACAGTGGTAACACCTCAACCCAAGCTGAATGAAGATCCACCACGCTTTTCAAAGCATCAAGTCCTTCTTACCAGCCATTACCAGTAGACGTGGCCAAAGCTTAAGGAGCCATACAAACCCATGTGTTTCCAAACCCCAGCCAGACAGTGGATGCCCTTGCAGGAGTGAGGTGACTAGTAAAGATCACCATCTGGAGAGAATACAAGAGACAGCCTCCAACTTGCTGTGAAGAAAAACTGAGCTTGCTTTCCATTCCGAATGACTTTTTCTTCGCCGACTGATTGCATGTTAGGCGTAGGAAACTTCTATGCTGGGCGATGCTTTGTAGAGGACTTCGCTCTTCAGAGGCCGGTGGTCAAACCTATTTGTGAATGAATTCCGTAAGTGGACTTGGATGACTTTTAAAACGGTTGGCCCTATTCAGATCACAGCTGGGGTATAAGTGAAAGAGAAGATCGAGTCACTGAGCTGTGCTTCCTGGGTGTCGAGGAACGATTAGGAGGGTATGTATAACTAATGAAGGCCAGCTTCTTGACTGTTGATGATGTGCAGGTGAGGGAGAAGAGACTGTGTGGGAAGGGGGCGGAACTTATGATGCAAAACAGGGCCTAATCTGCATTTCTTAAGGTGGTTGTCTTGTTATAGCTCAGTCCAAATATTACATGCTATCAGCATTAGGATCTTAGAGATGAAGGGAGCCGGGAGATCTAACAGAACACCTCCACCAGTGACTCACTGAAGACATCTCAGGCAAAGAGAAAGATAGGGAATACAAACCATCCTCTTCTTGCTTGAAGGATTGCACTATAGCTCACTTGGCTTTAAAGTCCATTAATGATGACCAAAACCTTGCAGAAGGAGCCTTCATACAGACTTGATGACCTGGTACGCTGTTGGTGGAAACTGGCTCACAATATATTCTGGATTAACCATGATGTTTCAGGTCTTGAGCTTTGCGGCTGTTTGCTTGAGAGGAGAGAAACATGAGAACACACAACACTGTTAGCTTAAATGCTTTTTTGAGCTCTGTGATGTGGGACCTGACATGACCTGCTGACCCTACCCCATCAGATCTTTGCCTTTTTTCCATTGGTGTAAGGGATAGTGTGCAAGTAAATTGATTGCCTGATACTTCACTAAATGGGCTGTGTGAATAGGTTATACTGGGTCTTGAATATAGCACCTAAGTCCCTGTGTGTGGATGTGTCATCCGTCAGAAAGTCCATCACTCTACAAGAGTTAAAAATTTAGATATCTTTCATAAATACGATCAGCACTAGACTCTGAGTGTGTCTATCTATGTAGATATCTGGTCCCTTATCTACAGTCTTTTTAAGCTCTATAAATGAAAATTCTCTGGTCACTCCCCACCCTTTCCCCATACTATGAGGTTGTAAGACTGGCTGAGCTGACTTTACAGTCTATTTTGCTTGGGTCAGAGGGAGTGAATGTAACCCCAAGCCCTGTTAGAAATGCTAAACATGAGTCTAAATCTGGGAAGGCCAAGCTGGACTGCACATACTCCACCGGCACAGAGGGCCTGAACCTGTAACAGAACGGAAAAAAATAAAACTTTAGACTTCAATTATCAATAGCATAATTTTTGTAAGCAATCTGCCAGGCATCTGCACTCACGTTTTAATAATGGCCCTCAGCGCTAGATTTCTTTCACGCTCCACAAACTTATCAATAAGGTAAGCAGCCATACGTGGAGCATTCTGATAGAGTCTGAAAAACCGGTGGAAGTTTCCAAGCGCCCAGGCAGTACGGAGCTCAAGAGCATGAGCTACACACGGATCAGCACGGAGCTCAGGGGTCAGGTACACAAGCTCGGTTGTCAGGTCTAAGAAAAAATTAGCGAAGGCATTAAACACTTCATGAGAGATTGAGAAACAATGAAATGGACTGCAAAATAGTGAGAGTAAAAACTGTTGTTTACTGGATGATAAAAACTGGATGTTTACCTCCAGAATTCTTAGTAAAGATGTAGTAGATAAGTCTGTAGGAAGTGAATTCTCCCACGTTGTCCGATGGGCAGTCTTTATACAGCGCCTTCAGCTGGGTCTGGCACTGGTTGAACTCCTCGTGGTCACCCTGATAACAGTTGAAATGTTGGTTTAGTCCAAAATAATGATAAATGCCTTTAATCGGAGCTAACTTTACATGCACATACCTTTTCCAGAGCAATGCGAGCATGTGTCTCATACACCTCCACAGTGAAGTCTGTACGCACACCTTGAACCTGAATGACAAGAATTCAAAATAAGACACTAAAAGATAAAAATGTGAAGCAGAAAAGTGGTACTACTAAGCGTTACTCACAGTGAGATCCTGTCTTATTGACTTCATTTGTTCACATGCGTACAAGTAATCCTGATTGGATTTCCAATGAGTTTGAACAGCAATCAGGGACTTTCGCAACACCTAAAACACAACAGAAGATTCAATACAAATCTTCAAATAAATCTGCTTAATTTACCAACTACATACCAATTTTGAGTACAACCCACAAATAACACAAAGCATCCAGTGTTGACCACACAACTATAACCATTAAAGGGGTCCTATTATGCTCTTTTACAAAGTCTTGATTTTGTTTGGGGGTGTACTAGAACATGCTCTCATGCTTGGTGGTTCAAAAAAATGCATTATTTTTCACATAACTTACATTATTACAATAACTTTCTCCCCAGTCTGGCACAAACGGCTCAATTAGTTCCGGGTTTGATGAAGGCCTGCCTTCCGAAAAACAAAATGTAACGTGATTGGTTAGCTGTCCCAGTGCGTTGTGATTGGCAAACAGCTTAGACGTGTTTCAGTACTGCCCCGCCCCTTGCCAAAGCAACAAGTTCCGTCTGCTCCGGTTAAGGATGGCATCAATATTGCCATATCAATTTGAGCCGGATTCAGACCCCAAGAATATTGAACAAGAGGTTCACAAAGAACCTTTGCACGCACGGATATTTCAAGACATATTAGAGTGGTAACATTGTTGTTGTTTTTTGGGCTAAATCACGTTTTAGATAGAATGTCAATAACCGCTTAAAAATAACTGCATTTACTAAGTACAGATAAGTACATATGTATTATGTTTATTGTTCTTTAATTCTAACATTATAACATGAATTGCAGTGAAACTGTTATACATTTGAATTTATTTATACCATAGTCCAGTGTTTCCCACAGACTGAGTCTGTCCTCGCTGCAGCCTGAAGCACGATGACGTAGCTGGACTATATCCACTACGTAGTGGATATTTTGTAAAAACTTTAATGTCTAAATTCATCCGCAATGTTTTCGTCTATACCGGCAACTTCAAAGCTTTATTTATTTTATTTTTTTAATAGCCTGCATTTCATATGTTATCGCCAGGATGCACAGTGCTGTATCCATTATTATAAGGATACAACAAGATTGATATGCAGACGTTGCACTGTAAATTGCTAATTATTACGATATACATCACTCTTTCAGAGTTAGCCTACATGTCTTTTTGATTGTATCCGTCATGTTTATTTAAATTTAATTGGGGATATTAGATTAATTTTGTTTATTGTGCTGTTGGAGTGGTAGAGATCGAGGTTTCCCTGGTAAGGCTGTACACAAAGCAGCGCTCAGCTCACAAACGCTGCTTTATCAGACATTACATGCAAGATGAAATGAAAATGACATCCAAAATTTTCTGAAGATGGTCGGTTTCCTTCAGTGATATAAAAACACCCGCACTCAGTGTATGGGAAACACTGTAGTCTCATAACTGAATGGTAAATTCTGCAGATTACATCATTCTCCAGTATTGCACTGTCAGCCATTTATAAAAACATTTTCATAATTGTAACATGCATATTAATAATTATTAATTATTCAGGTGCATGTGTAATAACTTGCGAAACTTGATGCTTAGCAGCACTTTTTCGTCATCTTGTCTGATGCACGCAACCAAGCGTTCTAACCAGACCTCGCCCCTCCCCACCCCGCAACCATTAGAATTTCGTAGGTGGGAATTCTAGTAATGATATTCTAGTGGGCCGCTTTGTGACATCACAAAACCCGGAAAACAATGCTGTAGTCCAAACGAGCCGTTCGTTGTGGTTCTTGAAAAGCGATTTTTAAAAAAATGAAATATCACCCTTTGGAGTCGACTTTGAGATTTGTAACTTTGTAGATCTTTTTTATGCCTAAACATACACACTACACACTGACTAAAATTCAAAAAGAGAAAAAGCATAATAGGACCCCTTTAAACAGATCTCTAAAATAAGCAACACTTTGAGAAACACTCACAGAAACAGGTCTGACGGTTGCAGGGTCAGGGGCACAGGTCAGGCGCAGGTAGTTTTTGGTGATGTCCTGACAGGTGCCGACTATGGGGCATTCATCCCAACTCAGTCCCTCTTGAGTGCCATTGGGGAGGTCAAAAACATTGATGTTTAACACTAGGGGCTCAGTGCGTAGTTTAGTGTGGAAGCGTGCTGCACGGCTCTGCTTCTTCGCTTCACGATTTGGGTCATGAAAGTCAAGCCCTGCGTTACCACCTTTCCGCTTTTTACCAATACCGCTGGAGAGGTCTTCCATATTCCTGATGGAAGTCAGAAAAGAAGGTTAATTAGGCCACTAGAAATGTTTAAAAGGGGTCATGAATTGATAAATCAACTTTTACTTGAACTTTTGATATATAAGAGGTAGGGTTGGGCCGATAGACGATGCCATCGTCGATGTCTGACAGACATCACGATGTTGAGCTGCTACTAATATGCAGGGCATTGAAACCGCTTTCGAATGCGCGCTTTCATTTTACTTTCACTTTCACTTTCGAGATTCGCGATCACACAGACTCTATGCTACGGATTTCAATGGTAGGTACTGCCACTACCACACATTTTACTAGATTGGATATTTGTCAGTGGTGCTCAGTATCTGCAAATCATTCGCCATTGTCCTATCAGTCATCTCTCCTTACTCTGTGTATGTGGTAAGTGAACTTTCATGTACTATAATGTAACAGTCTACCGCTAGCAAGCGGCTAACCATGTCCCATTAGTTTCTCCATAGAACGCGTTATTTGTTTTCCGTGCCTTTCTGCATACGGATTCACGCTTCGGGCACACCCCCTAACCCCCAATGTCATCGTCCATCAAGATGTTTCACTGTAGACATCGTCCGATGCCAATTTGGTAGACATCGCCCAAACCTAGTAACAGGTCATCGTACTAAAAGAATACCCTGTAAGTTTCAGAACTGAAAACGTCTTTGTTACTGAAATAAAAGTTTTTATTGACATCAGGCCCAGCGAACGCCAGATCCTGGAATGTGCCTACCTATGACATAATAGATAGGTTAAACTCCGCCTCCACAGAAGAATATCAACGCCTAATTCTGTAGCCCCGCCCACTGATACGCACATGACAGTCAGGGGTTAAAGCAAAAAAAAAAAAAATCTTTTGACTGAATTTTTCCTCAGCCAAACCCCATTCCACAGCCATACCTGTCACACACCCAGTTTAAGAGCAGTTGTTTCTTGTAATTAGGAGCGCTTGTCCTCCTAATTTAAAAAATTTAGGAGCACCTTCTGATCAATATTAAAAAATTCTGATCAAAAATTAGCCTTCCTACTATTCAGTGTTTCCTAGGATTTTTTCCAGCCGTGGTGGCAGGACTATTTCTCATGGACCACGCCCCCACCCAAGAATCACGTGCACTCAGAATTGAATTTATTTTAACTAAAAAAAGACAAGTAAATAGTAAATAATAAAATAAGAACAAATAAATTAATGACAATCAATATCACAAACAAAAACAATAACAAGATACAAATTAAATTAACAGTACTTTAATTTTTTCAGTTAGGTCTAGCTATAATCTACTCAACTGTAAAATAACACTTGATAGTCTTCACTGTATAATGAAAGGCAGCAGGAGGTTTATTTAGGCTGCTGTCTCTTTAAGACCTCATGCACGGATCTAATATACTGTTACACATGGCTCTATGCTTACTTTTCTTTTTAGGAGCTCTTGTCCTCCTAATTTAAACAATTTAGGAGCACCTTCTGATCAATAATCAAATTCTGATCAAAAATTATCCTTCCTAATATGAGGTGACATTTGACTTCTTAAAGTGACTTACAAGAGTATTTTCTTTGTAATGGCATCATTTTCATCTGTCAAATTCAAAAATGTATGTTTATAAGCTTTTTAACATTTCTATTTAAAACAATATAATAAGTAGAATAAGACAAATAAGTTACCAATCATATGAAATTAGTATTAGTTTCTTTTCCCCTCATTTTTTCCAATTGACGGAAATCCGTCGAAGACTCGCTGCAATTAACAGAAACCCGTTGTAGCGACGGAGAACTTTAATCCCTGCATAGTAGGGAAATAACATAAGTGGCGCTAAACTGGATCGAGCAACCAAGCAATACACATGCCATTGAAGATCGCAAAATATTGTGCAGTGCCTGGTTGTGGAAGAACACAAATCGCTGCATAAGCTTCCTTCAGATTCAAATATCAGGAATGCGTGGTTGAACAGGAATGGCGCAGCAGACGTATGAAAGTAAAAAATATTTGTACTGTGTCACTATTGCTTTGTTAGAGATCGCTTGACATGTCATGATTATGTGTACGTGTCTAACCAAAGTCACAGAAGGCTCCAACTATGAAGGATGTAGCTTGTCAAACAGACACACAGAAAGTTAGTTTACTATGCAAAACTATTATCCAATCATAGCAGTGGGTGTTTACTTCCAAGTCTTCAATGCGGCACGCCCATAAAAAACCAAGTATTTCTCGAGCCGGCCTCAAAACCAGGGTAGAAAATAACCTATTACTTATTGATTTTAATGTTTTTGAATGTAAAAACCACACGAACGTCATAAGTGGACCTCAGACAACAGTATAAAATACTGTTCATGACCCCTTTAAAGTGGCTACACTGTCATACTGAGCAAAATGTGATGAAAACATTCCCTAAAGTTTGGTAATGCCATTTAATTTTGTTGTACAAACAATAATATCTCACCTCCGCCCTCTGTTTGCTTTGCCTCTTCCTCTGCCTCTCTCTCCCGCAGCTCCTCTACCTCGCTCCCTTTCTGCCCCACGGCCTCGGCCAGCCTTTTGTTGCCGCCGGGACAGTGGAAGTCGAGGATCACTTGACATGCTGCTGTCTGACTGAGAGCCAGAGTCACTAAAGGAGGAACACAATCACCTGTCAAATCCTACAGATCTCCAAATCCTTTCATATTTATACTGATGAATGAAAGTGATTGTATTATATTATTAAGCAAGTTTGCAACCCTGTGCATTACCTGCGATGATGTCTACTCCGGTCCCTGTGTCGGCTGTGAGGTGACGGGGATCGTGATGAGGAGTGGGATGAGCTTGAAGAGGGGCTTCTTTGAGAAAAGACATTTCTGTAGTTACCCAACCTGGCCCCGCCCCTGCCACGGGTGGCTCCACCTCTCCCAATAGCATTCTCCTGAGAACGCTGAGGAACCGGCTCCCAGCGAGACTGCTTTGGCTTCAAACTGATAAAGCAAGTGGTTGTTTAGTGCCAGTAGTTAATAGTTTGAAATAGCATATCTGAAGCTGAATGAACGAAGAATGCTGAACTGAACCAAGGGTAGAAAGTTACAGAACAGAGATGCAACCCACTCTGGCAGTGGTTCTCTGGTCCAGTCGATGGTGTAAGCAGAGCCATCCTGTAGTCTGGACTGCAGAAGGTCTTTCAGCACTTTTTCCGTACGGTCCTTATCCTCTTCAGATTCACAGGCTGTAAAGCAGCGCTGTACATACTCTTTCATGGCCTGTGGCCAGTCCTGAGGCCTACAAGATATATAAAATAGTTTTCAATGATTCAAAATTACAATTAAATATCACTTAGTTAATATGGGTGATACATTGCATTTAAATTAGCACAGATCTAATGATTTACCTCAACTTAAAATATTACCCAGTATGCTTACCGAGTTTGGGCACTTCCTGTGGAAGTGGTAGAGGTTGCAGCAACAGACCCAGGCGATGGGTTTGTCGCAGTGGGGGAAGCCAATCCAGGGGCCTGATCACCTGGAGTAAAGTTTTGATTGGCCATGACGTATGGGCGTTTTTGTACATTAAATTTGACAGCACTGGATCCAGGAGCCTCTGTTAGGGAAGAAAGAGAACATTAGGAGGATATAATTAAAAGCACACGTTGCACTAGGGCTGGGAAAATAAATCGATGCATCACGAGTCGAGAAATGATTCAGCATTGATTCTGAGATTTTCCGAATGCATCGCGATTCTTTCTCGAGTAGATTCTGATCTTAGTTTTGAACAGCAGAGGGCACTGCATGCTTTAGAAACAGCCATACTCTGCTTGTTTCCAAATCCTTACACACACTTGAACCTAAAATAATCATTCATAAAGCTCGAAAAGGTTTAAGCGAGTTACAAGGGTGTTCACAGTGGGCTGCGTTTACATTAATCTCACATCATAAAAGCATTCTGAGCAGAGGTGAAATTTTGACTCAACCGAACGCACAAGCGCTCTTAAGCGCTCTTCTTCATGAGCGTTTGAGTGTGCAGATAAAAACTAAATTACAGCGCCATCTGCTGTTAAAATCTAAGCTCAGAATCGATTCCAGAGAGAATCGCGATGCATTCGGAATATCTCAGAATCGCATCACAGCCCTACGTTGCACACACATAAGCACAGAGACACGTACGTTTCATGCGTTGCCACAGCTGCTGGCCACCTTTGTTCATATTGCTATTGTTAGGTTTCTTAGCATCCGTTGCAGGAGGGGGCTGGGAGGAATAGCTGGAGGACTGATCTTCCATCATAGGCATAGCAGGGGCCTGAAAAAGAGAGGGAGGGATAATCTGTGAATTACTTAAAACTTACAAAAATAGTTGATATACATGGCCAGCATGAATTCAGAATGATATATGGAGGTCTATACCTGTCCAGTGGGTTTAGTGGGTGTCTGGTAGCCTCCTTGAACACCATACTGTCCTGGAGGATATGGTCCTCCATACTGAAGGAAAATATATAAATATTGAAACAGCACAAAATAGGACAGCTGTAATGGTTGGGTTGAGTGGTACTAGCACAGTCATGTATTGCACAGTTTCTTTTCATATTCAGCTGCAGAGGTCTTATTAAAGGCACTAATGTTATCCAGCCAAAAGAATTTGATTTCTTTTTTTGTCAATATTAATAATACAGCAGACAGCACCAGATCTACCAGGATACATTTCCAAGGCAAGGTGTATTTTGACACATATCTGAACACTGCTTTGGATTAGAGCAGTGGTTCCCAACCCTGGTCCTGGAGGCACCCCAACACTGCACGTTTTGTCCGTACGGGCCCTGTCCTGGAGCCTGCTGCTGAGGGGGCTGATATGCTGGAGCTTGGTAACCCTGGTACCCTGGCCGAATCTGTCCTGAATTGTAGCCCTGCATCATAGGGTTTGAATCAGTGGGGCTGTATGGCATGGTACAATTAGGGTTGTAGGGGGTCTGGGATGGTGGAGGGGGGTACTGGGCATTG